CACCACCATCACCATTATCACCACTATCACCACCACCACTACCACCATTATCACCACCACCACTACCACCATTATCACCACTATCACCACCACCACTACCACCATTATCACCATCACCACCACCATCACCACCATCATCATAACCATCGCTACCACCATCACTACTACCACTACCATCACCATTATCACCATCACCAGAAATCACCAGCACCACCACCAGCACTGACACCACCACCATTATCACCATCACCACCATTATCACCATCACCATCATCACCAGCACCATCAACATCACCACCATCACCACCAGTATCACCATCACCACCATCACCATTATTACCACCATCACCATCACCATTAACACCACCATCACCATCACTATCACCATTATTACCACCATCACCATCATCATCACCACCACCACCACCACCATCATCATCACCACCACCAGCATCAGCACCAGCACCACCACCAGCACTGACACTACCACCATTATCACCATCACCATCATCACCAGCACCATCAACATCACCACCATCACCACCAGTATCACCATCACCACCAGTACCACCAACAACACCACCACTACCATAATACTAGTACCATACCATCACCACCATCACTATCAACATCACACCATTACCACTACCACTACCACCATCACTACCATACCATTACCACTATCACCTCCACCACCATCACCACCACCATTAACACCACCAGCACCATCTCCACCATCACCACCAGGACCTACACCACTACCATAATACCAATACCATACCATCACCACCAACACTATCAACATCACACCATTACCACTACCACTACCACCATCACTACCATACCATCACCACCATCACTATCAACATCACACCATTACCACTACCACCTCCACCATCACTGCCACTACCACCATCACCACCACGACCAACACCACTACCATAATACCAATACCATACCATCACCACCAACACTATCAACATCACACCATTACCACTACCACCATCACTACCATACCATTATCACTATCACCTCCACCATCACCACCACCACCACCACCATACCATCAACATCACATACCATTACCACTAAAGCCACACCATAACCATCATCATACCTTACCACCACCACCACCATCATACCAATACCATCATACTATCATCACCACCATCATACCAACCCTATCATACCATTGCCACCTCCGATAACAGTATCATCACTACCACCACAAACAGCACCACTACCAACGTACCATTACCACCAATCACCACCACACTCTTATCACCATCACCATCACCACCATCATCACCATCACATTACCATGATATCACCACCATCGCAACCATCACCATGACCATTATTACCACCGTCCCCACCACCATCACACCAGGATCACCAACAATCACACCAAGCTCAGCACCACCACCGTCTTCGTCATCTTGTCATCACACCCCATAAAGGAGGGGTTCACACAGAAGGAAACAGAGGTCAGGGTGGGCCTGGCCAAGATCAAAGAGCTGAGAAGGGGCAGGGCCAGATGTCCTCAAGGACGTGACAATTATATATTGAATGCATTGGAGCCGTGTCCTCCACCTACAGGCTCTCTGGGTGAGGGTCTCTCTTCTCCTGGGCTCCTAAGGGGCAGTAAGGCCCCAGCTCTCCCCGGGCTCCTGGGCAGCACTGCCTGCCGCCACGCACCTTCACCGCGGACGCCAGCTGTCTGTCGCGCTCTTCCAGCTGCTGGCGCTCGCTCTGCAGCTCGCCGCCCCGCCGCAGCAGCTTCTGCTTCTCCTCTTCTTTCACTAGGGAGAGGGCAGTGGCTGCTGGGCCAGGAGCAGAAGCAGGAGGCAGAACCAGGCCCTGCCCTCCCCGCACTGATGCAGGGACCCAGCTGCTCGCTCCAGGGTCCCTCCCCTCAGAGCTCGGACCCTGAACAGTCTGGACCCCAGCCTCTCCAGGTCCCACGTGAACCTAGCACCTGTGTGGGGGAGGGGAGGCAGGCCCCTCCCCCCAGGGCCACTCACCTGTCTTGTGGGTGACATAGGAGTGCACAATGGCCAGCATCCCGGTCCAGGGCACACCCTCGTCTTTCTTTAAGGCCTGGAGGACAGACAGAGAGATGAGAAGGCAGACCAACCCTGGTTGTGTGGCTCTGGGAACGCCCACTCCCTGACCGCTTCCCCAGGGTGACCAGGGGACAGTGGCCACACTGGCCTGGTTCAGAGAAGTTGAAAGGAGAAAAGCTGCATGTGGGCCAGGACCTTCTGGGTCTCTCCCCCTGGTCAAGGCCAAGGTCGCTGTTAACACCCCACAATCCACAGGATTAAACCCTGACAAGGGCCCCAGGTACCAGCTGTGCCAGGGTCAGGAAGGCCCGACACCCAGGCCCCTCCTCTGCGCTCCCTGCTGCTGCCGACTGCCAACCACCCAGGGCACTGGCGGAAGGTGTGCGCCCGTACCTTCTGCTGGCACCTGGGGCACACCCACACGCCCTTGGGTGCCGTCTTGAGGGGCGGATCCAGGCAGCTGAGGTGGTAGGCCCCCGGGCAGGTGCCGCAGGGCTGCAGGCTGGCCCCTCGCTTGCAGATGGCACAGTGCTCATCCTGGGTGATCTCGCTCTGAAAGAAAGGGAGTGCGGAAGTGGCTCAGGGAGAGGAGGGACAGGCCTCTGTGGGTGACTGTGCAGGGACACTCCTGGACCCAGCAGGAGGCACAGCAGCCCAACAGGCAGGGCGCTAGGGCATCCACTGGGCCAGGCTGACCAAGGGCAGGGTGCTCGAGTCAGTGCCACGTGGCCCAGTAGTGGATTCTTCCAGGTGTGCACAGGGAAGGGTGTCCTGCTGCAGCCGAAGGGACGGTCCCTATCCTGGGGGGCCTGGGGGGCTGACCTGAAACCCTCTCAGTAGCGTGTCTGTCCAGCCTGGAACACAGACCTGGGGGAGTCACACTCCCGTTCCCACATTTGTGTGGTGGACACTGCTGCCCTGCGCTCCCTGGAGCCTGAGCAGGACAGACACACAGGCGCTCTGCCGTGCCAGCCCCACGGTAAGGAAAGAGGACCCTTCAGATGTCCTTCCCACACGGCCTGCCACACTCCGCAGAGACAGAGTCCCCTTCCCAGCCGGCTGGCTGCTGCACCAACACTCTGTGGGTGCAGGGGCTTCACAACCAGCTCCCACCACCTGCAAAATCTGACTCCTGCCACCCACAGGACCCCCCGCCCCCCCAGGTCATGCATCAACGGAGCTTCCGACCTTCGGGCGGGGGTCTGGGACAGCCCACACCACCAGGCCCTGGATACCAGAGATGTCCGAGGTTGGGCACCACAGATAACCCCTCTGCACCCCTCGTTCAGTGCAAAGGCCCAGGAAGGCTGAGACACCTGCCTGGGGCCACCCAGTAAACTGGGGGCAGAGCTGAGACCCACATCTGGTGTCCGGCCTCAAAGCCAAGGCCCCTCCAGGACAGGGCTTGTGGGGACTAGGCGGCAGCTTGGGCTTCCTGTCCCCATGTCTGCCTGGGTTGGGCACCAGGTGTCCAGACACTGCCAGGTCCGCAGGTGTCAGTGTATCAGTGGGCACTGTGGCGAGGCCCCGGTGGAAACCACCAAGCCCCTCAGAACTGGCTGGACTGCTTGTCCAGCACACCATGCGGGCCAAGGGCTCATCTGGGATGAGGTCACGGGTTGTGAGCAGACTGAACATGTCCTGAGGCTGTGCCTGGGAATGAGTCCCCGGCAGCCGGTGTCTTGGGAAGCAGGGACATGTTGGGTGGGTCAGGGGTGGTCTCAGGACCAGAGGTGTGGGCATGGAAGGTGAGACCCTGGGGATTACAAAGTCCTCGGAAAGACTGCCCAGGGCCACACAGCAAGGCTGGGCAGAGCCAGGGCAGAGGCCAGCTGGCACCCAGACTGGCTCTTCCTGGGGCCTCTGTGGCCCGCCCTCTCAGGACCAGGCAGGGAGAGCTCCTGTTTGAGTCCGGCCACCTGGCACTGTGGCCATGCCCGGCTCCGCCTGGCAGGAGGAAAGCAGGCGTGGTGCTGGGCAGGGTCCTGAGCTCCGAAGGCAGAGGTGAGGGCCCTGTCCACTCCAGAGCCACCCGTTCCCAGGAGGACTGCCACCGGGATTGTGTGGGACACACCCACCCCCAGGTGTGATGTGAGGGCACGTACCTTCCAGCAGGGCTCCTCATTGGCTGGCACAGGGAGGAAGGGCGGAGAACAGGTTAGTGGGCACTGGAGGGGCACAGTCAGGACTGGGCTCTCTGAGGCCGAGTGTGGCAGGGCTCTGGCCCCAGGGCAGGATGGGAGTATCGCAAGGCCCAGTGATGCCCGAGTCCTCCCCTGCAGCATGAGGTCCCTGACTCCAGGACCTTCCAGGGGCAGTGAGCTGTGGGGGGGATCTTCAGCCCTTTATTGACAGGGTAGAGACCTGCACGACCTCAGCTGCTGCCTGTCCCCATTCTAGTAGGCACTGTCAAGTTGCGGGTGTGTGTGTGTGTGTGTGTGTGTGTGTGTGTGTGTGTGTGTGTGGTGCTGGGGATTGAACACAGAGCCTTGTGCACTCAGGGCAGGCACTTTACCAGCTGAGCTATGTCCCCAGCCCCTAAAACTGCATTTTAATGCACATAAAAACGGCTCCTTTTCTGCAAATGTGTCAGCGGAACCATCAGCCTGTGGTGAGGCTCTCAGCAGCTTCCAGTGGCCCGGCTGCGTTCCCGTCCCCACCTGGGAGCAGCAGAGAGTTACGGGCCCATGTTACAAATAAGGTCACCAAGGCCCAGGGAGGTGACCCCGTGTGCTACACACATGTAATCCTGAGAGCAGGTGGCCATCTCCCGCCGTCAGGGCCATTGGGTTTTCTGAGAAGAGTGAGTCCCTGCTGCGGGCATGTTTGTGGTGTGGCTCTCGGGGCTCTTGCTGTGGGCGAGGTGGCAGAGCATGCAAGGGTCTACTGGAAATCGGGACCGAGGCCTCAGGTCAGGTCCCCGCTATCCCAGCCAGGCGCCTTGCTGAAGGCTTGGCCCGCCTGTCCTGCAGAGGGAGCCCGCGGCAGAGCCGGGCAGGGGACGAGGCTCCTACCCTACCTGGGCTCTCACTGCCGGCTGCAGGCTGGGGGTGGGGGTGGGAAGGTGAGGGCTGAGAGCCCCTGGCCCAGCCGGAGGTGTCTGAGCGGCTCTCTCCGGGGCTGTCCAGTTTGTCTGCGGCAGACAGTGCCTGAGCTGGCCACTCGGGCACAGGAGCAGTGCTGGCTTGTGCACAGGCCACAGCAGGTGGTGCCAGGTGGGATGGGCCCCTCCCACATCCTCTTCCACGCAGGTCACAGACCCCTGTGGGGGCCTGCCAGGGTGGCCTTTAGCATCACAGGCCCTAGTCCTCTGTCCACCCAACGGCAGGGCAGAGACCTGCCTGACCTCAGCTGCTGCCTGTCCCCACTCCTGGGCCTCCTGTGCTGGGAGATGCTGCCCGCCCCGTTCAACAGGATCAGTGGCACCTCTGCTGTGCCACCTGCCTGGTGCTCAGGCCAAGGCCACAGAGGAGGATGGGAACTGCCTGGTCCAGCCCCAGGTCCCGCCCTGCCCTGTGCCCAGGCTGCCACTCACCTCGTGCTGTGAGGAACAGGGGGTTGTTGAGATAGCTGGAGGCCAGTCGCTTCCTCTGCAGGACAGAACACAAAACCCAACACCCCCTCATCTGGAGCCCTCCTGGGCCCGCTGCCCCTGCCCAGGACCCTCCAGGCCCAGCTTTCCACCAGTGGCCCCAGACGCCAGGAGGAACCTGGGCTAGAGGCACAGACCAGGGCTGGGGCTGACGGCAGTCGGTGGACAGGGGCTTTGCCAAGGCTCTGCCCTGCAGGGGCCGTCACCCTCTGCTCCCAAAGATGGCTCTCCACCTGCCCTCGGGGCGCTCCCTCGGCTAGCTCTGGGGTCAGGCAGGGCAGCAGGGGCCTCCTTGTGCATAGCCCAAAGCCCCCCTGCTGTGAGGCTGCTGTGCGTCCAGAAGGGTGGCCCCAGTCCTGGCCTCGGGGTTCTGGCAGGAAGATGGTTCTAGAATTGAGTGACTGGCTCTGAGCTGGTCTCCCCCCTGGCCAGGCCGTGTTCCAGGCCAAGGAGGAGCTGTGGGCGGGCTGCCCCGGGGCTACATCCTTGCCCAAGACTAAGGGGCTGCCCGCTGCTGACTGGCCAAGAGGTGGCACTGGCCGCAGACTGGGGAGTCCAGGCCAAGGCTCTGCACACGGGGCATCAGGCGGTCGTACTGACCAGCAAAGCAAAGGGAAGGGGCCCTGATCACATAGGACTCATGGTCAGTGGCCACTCAGTGGCCTTCTAAAGAAAGGCCCCCATGTCTGGGGACAGGCTTGCCCAGGAGACCCAAGAGGACGTAAGTGGGTTGGAACTGCAGGCTTGGGCATGTCCTGGGAACAGGGACAGAGGGACAGTGGGAGGGTGGCAGGGCCAGAACTGACCACTGCCCCGGAGGAGAGCCCTCCCTGCAGTTCAAGTCCAGAAACGCAGATTCAGGACACGTGGCCAAGTGGCCCACTCCCTGGAGGGACGCAATGGCTTCTCTTTACCCTCCCTCTGGACCATGCAGAGCTCAAATCTGGCATGTGCCACACACTGGCCTCTGGGGACCTTGTGTCTCTCAGGACACTGGCTTGGACTCTGTGGCTGGCCTTTGGAGACAATGTGGAGACTGGAACCTGAGAATCTGGACTTCAATTCAAACGGCAGAGGAGTCTCATTCTGGACTGGGTTTCTCCCTGGGCATGTGCCAGGCAGGGGCCAGTGGTCTGGGGACCTTTGGCCTTCCAAGCCTCTGCACCACCCCGTCCAGCTGCTGTGGACATTGAGGCCGTGTTGAGTATGGGGTGGATTTGGAGGAGGGGACATTTCTTGCCTGGTGTCAGGGCCATGAGTGGGGTCATGAGTGGGCAGGCACAGGACTGGGCTGGCCTCCTGCATCTTTCCCTCAGGTGACTCTGG